AACCAGTGTGCTGCCTGCCTGGCTTCCATGCCATAGTTCTCTGCCCACTCATCACCATCAGTGGTACCTGAAGAGCTCCTCAGCCGCTCTGGGGATAAATTCCTAAGTCCCTCTGTGGGAGGAGCAGCAGGACAGGGTTATCGTCCGAATGGGATCCCAGCATGGGGTAGGTCTTCCCGCTGCCCGTCTCTCCATATGCCATAACACAAACTTTGCACCTAGAATTCAGAGCAGATTTAGTCAGCAAGACACACCTGAGGCTGGTGCCAAGAAGATTCCAGGAAACATTTTTACTTGTACAAGAAATGCGGTAAGTTTCATTTCCTATTCCCCTGCTACTCCATTTCTTATAAATTAGGCTTTCATTGGACTATAACTATTTTTTGCGTAATCCATTGGTGTTGCTCTCCTGTTGTACAACATTGGATTAAAGGGTGTTTGCACGGACCCAGGCAGCATGGGTCCTCCATCCCGGTTTCTCCTGTGCATTTTCACCTCCCTGTTCGATGGCTCAGCATTCACATCAGGATTCTGACCTTAGCAAGGCCCCACACCTACACCTTAACTTTCTTTTTCTTTTTCTTTCTTTCTTTTTTTTTTTTTTTTTTTTTTTGAGATAGAGTCTCACTCTGTCACCAGGCTGGAGTGCAGTGGTGATCTCAGCTCAATGCAAACTCTGCCTCCCGGGTTCAAGTGATTCTCCTGTCTCAGCCTCCTGAGTAGCTGGGATCACAGGCGTGCACCACCACAATCAGCTAATTTTTGTATTTTTAGTAGAGATGGTGTTTCACCATGTTGACCAGGCTGGTCTGGAACTCTGACCTCAGGTGATCCTCCTGCCTCAGCCTCCCAAAGTGCTGGGATTCCAGGCGTGAGCACAGTACCTGGCTTCACTGTAACTGTCAATGCAGCATCAGAGCTGCCCAATGCAAGCACATCTTCCTAAAATCGCAGTTACCATATGGTGTGGTGGGTCCACCTGGCCTGATGCTAAGTGGGTCGGTGCCTCAGAGCAGGATGTCCAGCCCTGACCCACCCGTCCAACTCACCTGGGGAGATGAAGCAGTCGTACACTCAGAAGTTCTGACTGAACTGGTCAGCTGTGACTCCGACCTTCAGCACAAGTGAACTGACTATGGACAGGAAAAGCTCCGAGTCCCTCCCCATAGCAAAGTACAACAATGTTTTTTTGTATGAAAACAGTAGACAAAAATGGCTTGTGCTTATAATCCCAGCACTTCAGGAGGATAAAGGAGGAGGATCCCTTGAGCCCAGGAGTTTGAGACCAGCCTGGGCAACATAGTGGGAACCCCATCTCTATATTGAAATAATATGTTACCGTCTTACGTATGACCATAGTTAATGATGTTAGTACTCAATTACATATGTCAAAGGAAAATACTTTCAGAATATCAAAAGAAAATGTGTAAATTTTTATCTCACTTAACATACATTATATATAGTAAGTGTGATTTACTAATCACAAACAAATAAAGGCTGTTGTTTTGATAAAATAGTTACAAGGCAGTGTTCTGACTGACATCTAAATCGCCCCTAGAGCAGGACAGAAAAGCAGCAGAGGCCGGTCCTGGGCTGACCGTTCGAGTGTAGCAACAAGAGCCTGGAAGCCTCACGCTCCCGCAAAGCTGATCAGGCCTCTCCGTTACCAGTCCGGAGTGTTCCTTCCAGAATTAAAAATCTCAAGGCATTCATAACAAAACCCCACTACATTCCCTGTCTCTTCCAGCTTCCCTGAGTTCATTTATGTGCCTTTCTTAGTGTGGAGATTATCTTTGGCGATAACAGATATAAACGGGTTCTTCTTGGGGTCTTTCAAAACCATTTGGGATGTAGAGGGAAAGGAAACGTCCTGAAGAAGGAGGCTGTAAACCAAAAATAAAATTCTAAAGGCCCCAGCCATCTGCATGGGCTTCCTTCTCGACCAGAGCACTCTAAAATTTAACTCGGAGTCCGGTTGGCCCGTGATGGGAAGTGGGGACCGGACAGGCCTCACCACACCTTCCGGCACTGACATCAACACCGGCCTGATGTCGGATAAGAAACGCTGACCACCTGCTCTCGCCAAACCTGAAGGCTTCCTCTGCAACGGAGAACTTTGGTCTCCACAATCCTTTGCTTTAACCAGAGGCCCCAAGCGATGCATTTCTTAAATGAATTTGGACTGACGTCTCACGTCTCCCTAAAACGTGTAAAACCAAGCTGCGCCCGACCACCTTGGGCACATGTTCTCGGGGCCTCCCGAGGGCTGTGTCACGGGCCCATGGTCACTCATGTTTGGCTCAGAGTAAATCTCTCCCAATATTTTACAGAGTTTGACTCTTTTCACCGACAAAACTCGGGACTTAAAATAACTCCATCTGTTTCGTGTTATCCTGGAAAGGCAGCTCTGGCAGTGATCACTCTAACCACGATGCGTTTTTTATTTCAGAAATCTGCTTACTTAAAAGATGCCTACTTAAACGGAGACTACCCTATCATTTTCAAAAGCGTTTTTTCAGATGGGTGTGGAGTGCCAGCCTCTGGGGGAGGAGCCGAAGCAGCAGCTGTGTCCTGATTGGAGAGCGGCCCCGCCAGCGTGCACAGTCCCACACAGCAGCTTCCTGAGCCCACCCTACTCGTCGGATCATGTGCCTTCGGGGTGCACGGCACACTATAATTAGAGTGTCTAGTTCCTTGAGCATGGCTGTGCAGAAGCCTTTGCTGGACGAATTTCGAGTCAAGTCAGTCTTCGTCAGGAACTTTATGGAGATCCTTCCAAAGGCCCAGGAGTAGGAAGTCTTGGCTTAAGGTGTCTCCATGAAGTAAAAAAATTCATCATCCCTGAATTCCGATCCACTGCCTTTGACGTCAGTAGTTGTGTATTGCAAGATCAGAAAGCAGGTTCCCAAAGGGAAAAGTGCCTAGGTCTGACGTTGACATTCTTATAGATTTTTTAAAATTCTGAAACGTAAAAAGAGTCCCAGAGGGAATGGCGGCTGCTATCAGGGCTGAAGCCACATGCAATGTGACTACGGTGGAGTCTGGAATCCCAGGTAGATAGACTCAGTTAACCAGCATTCTCCAACTCATTCTCACCCCTTTTCCTAGGGTGCAGAAATAGTCTCCAGGGATGCAGGTGGTGTCCACGCTGGGTGACCGTGGGCGTGCTCTGCGGTCCTGTAAAATGCTCAGACTCCAACGCTACCTTCTCACTCCACAGCACGATGAAGCGTATTTATATTTAAATGTGACTATGACGACTGGCCTTAACGATATTCTAACTCACCCATCCAAGAGAGACCTGAGTAGGGGGCATACATCTCCAAAGACCGCGCTGAGACGCTGCTGGACCACAACCCCTGAGAGACCAAGTGAAAATGCTGCATTACAGAAGAAGCAGAAAGTGACCCTGCAGGCGGGCTCAGAAACCCGGGAACTCAGTGCCCTGTGTCCCTCCCGCCCCCAACACCATCAAGATTCTTCAACAAAAGATTAACCTGTGTTATTTTTCAACATAACAGAGGTTAAGAAAGAGTAAATATACTGCTTTCTGCTATAAAAATATAATAAGCATAAACAACGTGACAAGTGCTTACAAGGGAGGGAAGAAGGAAAGGATGGAGGGAGGGGAGGGAGGGGAGGGGAGGGGAGGGAGGGACGGAGGGAGGGGAAGGGAGGGAGGGAGGCGAGGGGAGGGAAGGGGAGGGGAGGGGAGGGGAGGGGAGGGAGGGAGGAAGGGACGGAGGGAGGGGAGGGGAGGGGAGGGGAGGGGAGGGGAGGGAGGGAGGGAGGGACGGAGGGAGGATATAATTATCCCATAACTAAATTAGTCCTGCTTTAGAGGACCCAAAGATAACAAAGTGAAAATCACACTCAGCGGCATATGACACATGACACTTGATTTTTATGTTCCAGCTCTTAAAAGCCTTGTTCTCCTCAGCGCCAGGTCAGTTCAGCAGCGCTTGAGTGGCTACCAGGGGACTGGACGTCTGCTCTGAAAACGGAACCCCACGTGGCTCTGGGTCCATCAACAGGTACGAATAACGCGAACCAGGAAGTCACATCCGAAAAACGCCGTTTCCTGCCCGGTCCGAACACAGGCCCTGGCGGCTGCCAGCAAGCGGCCACGTGAGCCTCCTTTCCTGGACTGCAGGTTTTGGCTGAGCCGGAGCCAAGTCCTCGCCCTTCTTCATTCTCACGTGTGTCCTGAGGCTCGGTGGCGCCACGTCATCCCCAGCGGCAGGATTGACTTTGCACGGAGGGGTCCCTTATGAGGTGTCGCCAAGGGAGACCTTCCCCGGGCGGTGGGCGAAACCCCCTCTCAATGCGTGGGAAGACGCTCAGGGCCGAGATCTTTTTTAACTTTTCACTGAGAAAATACACCAAGATAGACTGGATAGGGAAAATGTGGTACATATACACCATGGAATATTACGCAGCCATCAAAAACGATGAGTTCACGGCCTTTGTAGGGACATGGATGAACCTGCAAACCATCATTCTCAGCAAACTGACACAAGAGCAGAAAATCAAACACCGTATATTCTCGCTCATAGGCGGGTGTTGAACAATGAGAACACGTGGACACAGGGAGGGGAGCATCACACACTGGGGTCCGTTGGGGGGAAATGGGGGAGGGGCGGGGGGGTGGGGAGGTGGGAAGAGATAGCATGGGGAGAAATGACAGATACAGGTGAGGGGACGGAAGGCAGCAAATCACACTGCCATGTGTGTACCTATGCACCAATCTTGCATGTTCATCACATGTACCCCAAAACCTAAAATGCAATTAAAAAAAAATAAATTTAAAAAAAAAAAAAAGCGGGGATGGGGAGAGATGGGGATGGAGAGAGGAAAAAAAAAAAAAACTAAATAAAACTAAATGAAGCTTTGACAAAAAAAAAAAAAAAAAGAAAAGAAAATACACCAAGATACAAAAGGAAAAGCACGGAAAGGCGAGCCCGAGTGCACACCGCCCGGCTGCAGACCCAGACCTGACCTTCTCACCCTGCAGCTGCCTGGGACCCGCCTCACCCACGAAGGCACCTCTGGAGAGGATGGTGCCTTTAGGAAGTAGCCGGACGGCCATGGCCACGCCTTAAAAATGGACAGTCATTCCTCAACAGCAGCCAAAAGTCAGTGTTCGCATCTCTCCAGTTGGCTAGTCAGTTTATTTTTCCAGTCCGTGTCTTAGAAATAATAATTCAATCAAGGCATACACACTGCACAGAGTTGACACCTTCTGAAGTTTCTTCATCTGTAGCAAGGGTTGGCAAACTTTTTCTGAGAAAAAAACTAGTAGTAAATATTTTAGGCTTTGCGAACATCTTCCCTTTAAAGAATATTGGCGTTTTTCCCAGAAATAGGAAGGAAAAGTCTAAGATGCCTGCTACCTGCAATACTATTTAATAATTGCATCAAGCTATGATTGGCTTATGCCATCAGACAAAAGAAATCCATTAGTGACATAAGGGTCAGAAAAGAAAAGGTAAAACAATCTCTACTTGGAGCTAATAGGGCCCTACATCTGAGAAATCTAAAATCAAATAGCAAAGAAAATTACTAAATCAATAAAATAATTTCACAAAATAGCAGGTTATAAAATCAGTGAGAAAACATCAATAGCCTTTATATGCACAAAGTTAGAAGACACACTGGGAGATGAGACTATTTGTGATAGCAAAAAATATACACCTGGGAATAAACTTAAGAAACGTTCTAATCCTTCAGAATAAACTTAATAAGGAATGTGTTCTAATCCGTCACAAGGATGGCGTGGTCTCGGTTCACCGCAACCTCTGCCTCCTGGATTCAAGAGATTCTCCTCCCTTAGCCTCCCAAGTAGCTGGGACTGCAGGTGTGCACCATCGCTCTGCTAATTTTTTGCATTTTAATGGACACAGGGTTTCTCCATGTTGCCCAGGGTGGTCTCGAACTCCTGAGCTCAGGCAATCTGCCCGCCTCTGCCTCCCAAAGGGCTAGGATTACAGGCATGAGGCACCGCCCCGGCCTCCTTTCCCTTTTTCTCTGCCTGGTCAACTCCTGGTCAGCTGAGCTGTGGAGCCCTGCCTCCTGCCCCGCTGTCGTGTTGGTGGCTTCTGTGCTCTGCGCAGCCTCCTGGGCACTGTCCCTACAGCTCTAGGTCTTGGTGGCAAAACTGCACCTTCCTCTCACCTACAGCCCTTGTGTCTAACAGGGTGCCTGGCACATAACAGGTGCTGAGAAAATCCTTGAACTTGAATGACGATAGAAATGTAACATAAATGTGTAGGTGGGGAATATCATATTGTAAATTCCTGTTCTATGAGAACACAGCCAGGAGTCCGTCAGCTTCCTGATAAATGAATTATTCTCGGAACAATAACCATTACTTACTCTTTTTCTCCTTGTATTTTGAATCAATGGCATTAGTTTTGGGTTTTGTTTTTTTAAAATAATATTTTTATTTCACTTAGGAAATAACCTTCTTCTTAACCTGGGCCTATTAATATTTTTTTCTGAATAGTAAGAATTAAACTTTTCCCTAATACAGATTTGTTTTTAAAATAAGTTAAGGGCTGAAAGTGTTGGCATTTTTTTAATGGAATTAAAATATTTTGACATGTGTTAGTTCCATAAAAAGCTGTTATAAAAACCAGCAGTGTTCTGATTTCATAAGAACCATCTGCTCCGCTGTTTATAAAAACAGGATGATCCTGAATGCTAAATGATATTACCCCAGAATAAATTCTTGCAGAGACTTAAAGTCTCCCTTACCACTATAGACAGACAGCAAGTGGCAGAAACACTTCCATTGTTCTGGAAGCACAATTTTGACCTTTCCCTTCGACCCTGAGCATCCTCAGCGTATTCATCTTGAGACGGAGCCTTCTGAGAAGACATGTGTCGACATCAACCGTGCGGCTGTTCCACCTCCTTCCTCCCCAAAACAAGGTCACATGACCCCTGAGGGTGGTGTCCCCACCACAGCGCCCTGGCCTGCGCTGCTCCACTGGCTATGCAGCAGCCTGGTGTTGTCCAAACACCCAGACCTCCTGCCCGAGGCCACCACTTACTAAAAGCGTTGTTGAACAAGAGCCAGAGCTGCCCCCTCCAGCCCTCCCGGGACGGTCAAGGGCCTGGAAGTACTTGGAGACTGTCGAGGGCCACGTGAAGGTGAAATGCATGACTAAACACCACCCAGGTCAAGCCCTAGCAGCTCCATGACTGTCCTGCCCACAGGAACTTCCCTGTCACTCGGCACTGAGCCATGCACTCCCGTGGGACTCTGGCTGCCTTGCAGGGGTGAACGATACTCACAGCCCGTGCATGAGCAGCATGGGGAAAGGATCATACTTTCAACTTTATTCCTTCTCTGCAGCTTGGTGCTGAGCACCCAGAAGTGCTCATCAAATCCCTCAGCCCTTTTGTGCATTGGGCTCTAAACATTCAGCCCAATCCTTTATCGGCAGGTCATATGCTTCCTCAAACTTGCTCTTTTACTTCCCAAGCCCAGTCTAGGGTGTGTGACCACAAAGTGCAAGGATTGGAGGTGGGGTCAGGAGGAAAGAAAAAGCTTTTCCCACAATGTATCCACCACTGACGCCAGCTGACGTGATCCAGCCATGAGGAGGCAGCAGCCCGGGGCCCTCCAGCAGCTCTGCCGCCCCTGCAGGCTGCTCCCCTGGGTTCCTGGGGAATTCCTCCTGCCTACAGGGAAGGCTGAACCCAGGAAACCGTTTCTAGCCTGCACCCTCCCATGGCCCCTGCACATGGGCACAGGGCACTTCCTTTCTGAAGTATCCAAACTCCCACAGTAGCACTGACTTAACACTGCTTATTACTGAACTAACGAGGACTCACAGGACAAATGTCCATTTTCTTGTCTTATAAACAAAAAGGCAGGTGCAGGAATGTATTTGTTATTATCTTTGTGCCATGCGGCCTGAGACCTACTACGATGTTACTTCACCGAGTCTATGGTTCCTTAATTTAGGTTAAATTAAGTACTCGTGAAACAAGAAAACATGAGGAAGCTTTGCTATGAGAAAACTGCACTCCCAGGGACAGTATGCAAAAGTGGATCATTTTCCAAACAAGACACAGAAGCCGTCCCCACTGTGCATGCCACACGCGGGACAAACACTGGCAAGAGCGAACGTGGCTTTGGAAAGCACAGGTGCCTTTTCTGGAAAGTGTGCACTCAGAAGCAGGTGATGACAGGTCCTTTCTGTCCAATCAGCTTCCAAGGGAAGAATAACTGATTGGTGAAAGAAGAAAATAAAATATAAAGAATTGACGTAATATAGAAACCAAAGGACAGTTTCTTCCTTAAATCCTTATAACTCCTAGAGAAAAAAATCCAAGTCCTTCTCTGACTATGAGCCTGTAAAAGCCACACAGGTGGGCTGGGCGTGGTGGCTCAAGCCTGTAATCCCAGCACTTTGGGAGGCCGAGGCGGGTGGATCACGAGGTCAAGAGATCGAGACCATCCTGGTCAACATGGCGAAACCCCGTCTCTACTAAAAGTGCAAAAAATTAGCTGGGCATGGTGGCACATGCCTGTAATCCCAGCTACTCAGGAGGCTGAGGCAGGAGAATTGCCTGAGCCCAGGAGGCGGAGGTTGCGGTGAGCCGAGATCGCGCCATTGCACTCCAGCCTGGGTAACAAGAGCGAAACTCCGTCTCAAAAAAAAAAAAAAAAAAAAAAGCCACACAGACATGGCATTATCACAATTTTAAATTATTTACAACTGGTTCATATTGGCCAGCTGCGGGGGCTCACACCTGTAATCCCAGCACTTTGGGAGGCAGAGGCAGAGGCGGGTGGATCACCTGAGGTCGGGAGTTTGAGACCAGCCTAGCCAACCTGGTGAAACCACATCTCACTAAAAATAAAAAATTGACCAGGCATCGTGGCACATGCCTGTGATCCCAGCTACTCGGGAGGGTGAGGCAGGAGAATTGCTTGAACCCAGGAGGCAGAGGTTGTGGTGAGCTGAGATCGTGTCACTGCACTCCAGCCTGGGCAACCAAGTGAGACTTCGTCTCAAAAAAACAAAAAGCAAAAAACAAAAAACAATTGGTTTGTATTTGTGAAACTGAACGTAGACCCTGAAAGAGCTCCCTTCAAACCCAGAATTTGAGGACTAGAAAGAACAAATCTTCAGCAGGCCTGGAGAAGTCCTGTGACCGAGGCCACACACACGGCCTACAGTTCAATTTCCCTCACACCTCACCTGTCACAGCACAGGTCCCAGGCATGGAGGAGACCAGCATCATGGAACGAGTGAGGAGTTTCATTAGTTTATTCACTCAGGTGACAGACACCACTGAGAGGAGACCCTGCGGACCCTGACTTGAGTCCCCGTGGTGAATGAGGAGACAGAAGCCCGGCCCTGCTGAGGCTTACAGCCTAGTGACTGGGACAAACTGGCCCACAGACAATGACATTAAATACCATTAAGTACCTTGAGGGAAAATATAGATGCGGTAAGATTGCAAAAGGGAGTGGCTTCGTTTAGACTGTGACACCAAGAAAAGCCTTGTGGAGAAAGTGGGGTTCACCTTGAAAACTGAAAGGTGGGGGCAGGTGAGATGAGAGGCAGAGAGGAAGGGCGGCTGAGCAGAGGGAAGGGGGTCTGCGAAATCTCCAAGACAGAGAGCTGGGGCCTCAGGACAGGATGGGGAGGCGGACAGAGGTCGGATGCCAGGAGAGGAGATGTGTTTCCTTAACTTCCTCCAGATGCCCTGAAGAATTCCAAGCCAGGAGGTGGCCTGCTGCAATGCGGGATCACTCCTCACTGCCCACTGGATCAACAGTCCTGTCCGGGAGGCCGGGAGCAGTCCCAGGAGGAGCGCGGGGCCTGGGCAGCAATGGGGAGGAAAATGGGAATACCTTAGACACATCCAAGAAAGATTTTTACTGCAGAATTGACAAGAGGTGGTGAAGGATTAAACGAGCCCACACGTAACGGTGACCCAAGTTTCTGGCATGAAAAGCCAGGTGGATGGAGCTGCCTCTTGCTGAGCAGGGGAAAACGAGAGGAGCTGATCTAAAGCAGAAAACAAGAATTCAGCTTGCAGGTTCTAGGTGTGAGACAGACATAAGCCACGCACACACATCCAGTAGGTAAGACGCGTGAATTTGAAACTCTGAAAAGACACCACAGTTGCTGATCTGCTTTTAGTCCACACAACTGCTCCTTACAACCACAGAGTCAGGGACTCTCCCAGAGGCAGAAACAAAACACCCAGGAGGCACCGCACATCTACGCGCTCCTGGCACATCTGCGAGTTCCACGCTCTATGCACTTCTACATGCTCTGTGAGAGCCAAGGCTGCTTGCTGTGGATATGGACAGTCCTGCTGATGGTAGTTCAGGGCCCGGTGAACCTGAGTTAAAAAAGAACCAGTAATGAATTACGGACCATGCAGCTTCTGGCCATTAAAAATTTTGTCTTGGATGTATCAAATCTATCAATCCTGCCAACTGCCACTACAAACGCATACAAAATATGCTTTACATCAGCTGCAAATAGCTAAGTAAGTGTCATTTGACCCACAGGCTCTGCTGACTATCTTCAGAAATTCGAGTTAGTAACTGTCAAACTTAACAATAAGGGAGAATCACAGACCAACAAAGACAGTTCAACTCGAACTTGATACAAAGCCAGAAATGTGTTCTCCCATGTCTGATTATCAACTCAGTGGATAAAAATTAAATAAAAAATGAAAATAAATAGCCTTTAAAACAGCCGCCAGGAACTAGAGCATCAGCCAGATTCTCCATCTGAGACTGACTTTATTAATAGATGGAATCCAAAATGATTAAACGCTGAATTAGATTGCAAATAGAAATGAAATGCCATGTTACACATCCAATACAAACTCAAACTCTCTTTAGACTTTGGAAATACAAACAGAATGTGGGAGCCAAGAATCACAATGTCACAAAACGGATACTTCCTTTCTCAGCAGACTGATGGCATGAAGCCTTTTAACAAGCAGGCCTATCAACTTAAAAAACAACATCTTGGATTCTACTGATTTTTTTTTTTAAAAAAAACCATAATCCAAAATGCCCCAATAAAATGGTATTCTATGTTGATGGGTAAGATGGAAAACCTCAAATATCTGAATCTGAAGATGCAGTGGAACTTTGGCAGGAACAGAGAGGCCTGCCCAGAGAATGAATAAAGGAACAGGGAACCGTAACAGCAAACACGGCCATGCTGATAATCCCAACGAGCCCTCCCGCGAGCGGCGGCCAGGCCTCAGCCTCGGGATGCGTTTCCTCACTGAAAGACTCCTCCAGGTTCACAAGGAGGCACACAGGCCGGAGTGCAGACAGACAGTTACTAAACCACACATACGCTTCTGTGTGTTCGCTTATAAAAGGAGAGGACTCATAAGGTCCTGTTAACTCCAAGTCCTGATCTTGAGGATTTAATCTGTCTCCTTTTGTTTGACTCAGTAACACTAGTGCTTAAGGCATCAAGTGAGATAAAGAAAATATTTGCCAAGTGAGATAAAGAAAATATTTGGATCTATTTGGGAGAGAGATCCAAGATGGCTGATCACTAGCAGCTCGGGATTGTAGCTCCCAGTGAAAGCGCAAAGAACGAGAGGACGCCACACCTTCACATGAATTCTTGTTGCTCACGCACCAGGAGATTCCCAGCGGAGGAGCCCCACGGGTCGCCAGCGCGACTCTTGTGACCGGCGAGGCGGTTTTGCCGGCGCCTCGGAGCGTCGGTTCTTGGTGCAGAGTCAGAAAAGCACCATCAATCTTAACGCCGCTGATTTGGTCGGTGCAGTGGGTTGCTCAGATTTCGGCGCTGAGAATCAGTAAGTTGGACGTCCACTCAGAAACCTAATTACAAAGATGGTGAATACAAAGACCACAGATGGATAAATTTATAACGAAGGGAGGAAAATGGCCAAAAAGGCTGAGAATACCCAATGTCAGAACGCCTCTTCCTCAGCGGGGGATCCCAGTTCCTCATCAGCAACGGAACAAGGCTTGATGGAGAACGAGTGGGTTCCAATTACAGAAGCAGGCTTCAAAATGTGGATAATGAGAAACTTCTGTGAATTAAAAGAACTTGTTCTAACCCAATCTAAAGCAACTAAGAACTTTGAAAAAAGATTTGACAAAATGTTAACAAGAATACACAATTTAGAGAGGAATATAAGTGAATTGATGGAGCTGAAAAACACAATACGAGAACTACGTGAAGTATGCACAAGTTTTAACAGCCGAATTGATCAAGCAGAAGAAAGGATATCAGAGGTCGAAGACCAACTCAATGAAATTAAACTAGAAGACAAGATTAGAGAAAAAAGGATAAAAAGGAACGAGCAAAGTCTCCAAGAAATATGGGACTATGTGAAAAGACCTAATCTACGCTTGATAGGTGTACCTGAATGTGACGAAGAGAATGAATCCAAGCTGGAAAATACGCTTCAGGACATTATTCAGGAAAATTTTCCCAGCCTAGTAAGGCAGGATAATATTCAACTCCAGGTAATACAGAGAACACCACAGAGATATTCCTCAAGAAGAGCAACTCTTCCCTCATTTTCTTTTGTATCTCCATTATTAAGGACAATTATAGGCATACCCATATTTAGACTGCATTCTAGCCCGGGCAATAAAGCAATACCCCCATTCTCTCTCCCTCTTCCTCTTTCTCTTTCTTCCTCTTCTTTATTCTTTTTCTTTATTCTTTTTCTTACAGGTTTGTTACCTGGGTAACAAACCTGTACTTGTACCCCTGAACTTAAATTAAAAGTTAAATTTAAAAAATGAAAAAAAAAAAAAAAGAATGTGTTACATTTCACAACAATCTTTCAGGCTTTAGGTATTTATTATGTTACTGTTTCTTTCAGTTAAACATATTCTAGTATAATTTTAGAGTGCCTTTTACAGCCTCGTGTTTCAAGTTGAGCAAAAAGATGTCGTTGCATAATACAATGACATGCAATCTGCGCACTCATATTTGTTATTGGAAATTGAATTTTCATTAGACTTAACAAACATGACTGCATACAGTGTCAAAACCTTGATGCTGATTTTACCTGACAATTATGATTTACACAACTATTATTTTCATGATACTGTAGTTTATTACCAGTAGATAGCTATGGCTACACAGTTACAAAACAGATAATAAAACATTAATTTAGATGTTTCTATCTTGGCTAGATTTTCATTGCTTTATTGATATCAAATTGTAAGTTTTTAAATACCAAAAATAAATCATTGGGTTGTGAATTTTATGCATCAGTAATTAAAATTTCCCTAAAAAGTGCGCTTCAGGGGATGCAAATTCACTAGGATAATGATTCTGTCTAACTACTGAGTATAAAAAAAAAAAAAAAGAAAAGAAAATATTTGCATGGTGGCAGTGAAGTAAGCAAGACACTGAGGAGAGACAGCTGGTGCTCAGCCCTTCCGTCCAAGGAAGGACCAAGGCAGTGACTACAAAGCCAAGCTCTGACTGCGTGGAAGGAAGAGCTAAGATCTGGCCAGAGTGTGCACGCAGCATGGTAGCAGAGAGGCACCTGTGTTGATTGGAAGTCCAGGAGGGCAGAGTATACAGGCACCTGGCTGCTGCAGCCCCATCTTTATTTTTTAGAATTAGGAATATAACAAGAATGAGAGACACATGCTGACAATACTCCATTGCGAGGGTAGCTACAGCAGAGTGGATGCCCTGTTAGCACCTTAGTTTTAAGAAGTGTTCTCGCCAGGCATGGTGGTGCATACCTGTAGTCCCAGCTACTCAGGCTGAAGTGGGAGGATTGCTTGAGCCCAGGAGTTCTGGGCTGCAGTGTGCTATGCCGATAGGGTGTCCGCACTAAGTTCAGCATTAATATGGTGACCTCTCGGGTGCAGGGACCTGAGAAATAGCCCCACAGTACCCCGACAACCAATAGACATGCCCTTGACTGGCCCAACAGCTGTATGTCCCCAGTAAGAGCCTGAGAAACAGCCCCTTGCACCATCATCAGTGGGCATATCCCCAAACCAGCCATGCAGCCTTGCTCCTGCACCCCAGACCCAAGAAACAGCCACACAGGTGACCTGGCAGATATACCCCAGGCCAGCTGAGCAGTAATGGACCCTCGTCCCAAGCCTGAGAAGCAGCCCTGTGGGAAACACCACTCCTGGCAAACACCCCCCAGGCCAGCCAAGCAGCCATGCAGCTGTGGCCCAGACACGGGAAACAGCCCCTTGAATTGGCCCCAGCAGACATATCCCAGACCAGCTGAGCAGCCTTGCATCTGTGTCCTGGGTCAGAGAAACAACCTCATAGGTCACTCCCGGCAGGCACACTCCCTGGCCAGCTAAGCAACTGTGTGTCCATGCTTCTGGCCAGAGGAACAGCCATGTGGCTCCAACTCCAATGAGCCAGACCCCATGTTGGGTGACCTACTGTGTGTCTGTGTGTACCCCCAACCTGAGATACAGCCTGAGAGACTACCCTTGGAAAAGCCACATCACTATTGCCACAGACTCCCTCACTATAGGCCATTGAGAAACTCACAAACACCTCTAGTGTGGATTACAGCCAAAGGGACTACATGGACATTACATTACTGTGTCCATCTAGAACCATGCACCCTAAGTCTTTCTTCCTGAAACCTACTCCATAAAATTGGAAGAGACAGTTTTTCCACCAGATGTATAGAAGTCAACGCCAGGGACACAGCAACCATGAAAAAGGAGGGAAATATGTAACCTCCAAAGGAAAGTAATAATCCTCTAGTAACAGACCCCAATTATAAGGAAATATACTAAATGCCAGAAAAAGAGTTCAAAATAACAATCTTAAGGGAACTCAGTGAGATATAAAAAAAAATACAATTCAATGAACATAGGAAAATAATTCATAATTTGAATGAGGAATTCAATAAAGAGATAGAATTATAAAAAATAAATCAGAGCTAAAGAATTCAATGAAATATGTCGATACAATAGAGAAATAAAAAATTTATTTCATTGAAATAAAAAATACAATAGAGAGCATCAACAACGGACTAAACCAAATAGGAGGAAAACAATTCTAAACTTGAAGACAGGTATTTTGAAATAGCACAGGCAGACAGATGGAGAGAGAGAGAATAAAAAATAATGAAGAAAGGCCATAGGATTCATGCGACAGCATTAAGTGAATTAATATTTGTATTGTGGGCATTCCAGAAAGAGAAGAGAAAAGCAGAGGAAAACATGTTTAATAATAATATAGCATAAAACTTCCCGAGTCTTGTGAAATAAATGGACATCTAGGTCCAGGAAGCTCAAAGAACCCCCACGCAGGTCCTCTCCAAGGCACATTGTAGTCAAATTGTCAGAAGTCAAAGAATTTTAAAAGCAGCAAAAGAAAAGCATTAAGTCACATATAAGTCCATTAAACCAATAGTAGATTTCTCAGCAGAGACTTTGCAGGCCAGGAGAGAATGGATAATATAGTAAAAGTACTGACCAAAAGGAAAAAATAATTCAGCTAATAATATTATAACCAGCAAAGCTATCCTTCAGAAATGAAGGAAAAATAAAATCTTTCACAGACAAGTAAAAACTAAAAGAATTCATTACCACAAGACCAGACTTATAAGAAATACTCAAAAGCGTCTTACATCTGGAAGTGAAAAGACAACAACTACCATCATAAAAAAAATACAAAACTATAAAACTCACTTGTATAGCCAATGCACAAAGAAAGCAAAAGGAATCAAACTCATTACAGAAAACCGCCTAAATGCAAAAGATAATGAGAGGAAGTAAGAAACAAAGGATATACAAAACAATCAAAAAGCAGTCAGTAAAATGACACAAGTAAGTCCTCACCTATTAATAATAACCTTGAATGTAAACAAATTAAATTTCCCACTTAAAAGATACAGACTGGCTGAATAAAGACCAAGACCCATCTATAAGCTGTCTACAAGAAACTCACCTCACCTCACCTGTAAAAAGACACATAGACTGAAAGTGAAGAGATGGAAAAAAATATTCCAAGCAAAAAGAAACCAAAAACAATCGGGAATAGCCTTACTTATGTAAGACAAAACAGACTTCAAGTTAAAAGCTGTAAAAAAAAGAACAAGAGGGACATTATACAATAAGGGATCAATTCAGCAAGAGAATATAACAATTGTAAATATCTTTTCACTCTCATATATAAAGCAAATATTATTAGATCTAAAGGGTAAGACAGGCCCTAATACATAATTACTGAGAACTTCAACACCCTACTCTCAGCATTGGACAGATCATCTAGACATAAAATCAAAAAAGAAACATTGGATTTAAACTACATCATAAACCAAATGGACCTAGCAGACCCTTACAGAACATTTCACTCAGCAGCTACAGAATACATTTTTTTTTTTCATCAGAACATGGAGCATTCTTCAGGACTGACCACATGTTAGAACACAAAATAAGTCTCAACAATTTTGTTTGTTTGTCTGTTTTGGTGTTTTGTTTTGTTTTGAGACGGAGTTTTGCTCTTGTTGCCCAGGACCAGGCTGGAGTACAATGCCACGATCTTGGCTCACTGCAATGCCCGCCTCCCAGGTTTAAGCAATTCTGCTGCCTCAGCCTCCCGAGTAGCTGGGATTATAGGCATGTGCCACCATGCCTACCTAACTTTTTGTATTTTTAGTAGAAACATTCAGGGTAGTCTTGAACTCCCAACCTCAGGCTATCCACCCTCCTCAGCTTCCCAAAGTGCTGTGATTGCAGGTGTGAGCCACGCACCATGTTTAACATTTTTTTTTTAAATAAAAGTCACAAGCTCATATCTGCCAATAACAGAATAAAAGTCCACATCAACAGCAAGAGGAAAATTTGAAAATATACAAATACATCAAAATCAAGCTACATGCTCCTGAATGACCAAAGAATGAAGGAGGAAATTATGAAAATTTAAAATTCTTCACAACAATTTAAAATAGAAACATATCAAACTAAAGCATATGGGACACAGCAAAAGCAGTATTAAGAGGTAAGTCTGTAGCAATAAATGCCTACATTAAAAAACTAGAAAGATTTCAAAGAAATGACATTATGATGCAACTCAAGGAACTATAAAAGAACAAATCAAACCCCAAATTAATAGAAGAAAATGAAGATCAGAGCCACAATAAAAGAAATTAAAACAAAAAATACAAATCAATGAAACGAAATGTTAATTTTTTAAAAAGATAAAATCAACAAGCCATTAGACTAACAGAAAAAATAGAAGGAAGACCCAAATAAAATCAGAAACAAAAAAGGAGATGTCACAATGGCTACCACAAAAGTATGAAGGATCATCAGGGACTACCGTGAACAACTATATGCCAATAAATTCAGAAACCTAGGAGAAACAGATAAATTCCTGGTACATATAACCTACCAAGATTGAACAAAAAAGAAATAGAAAATCTGAAGAGACCAATCACAAGTAATGAGATTGACTCAGTAATAAAGTCTTCTAAAGAAGAAAAGTCTAGGACCAGATAGCTTCACCACTAAATTGGACCAAACATTTAAAGAAGAATGAATACCAATTCTTCTGAAACTGTTAAAAAAAGAAAACTAAAGCAGAGCATTCTACTGAGGCCAGCACAACCCTGATACTGAAACCAGTTAAGGACAAAATAACAAAAAACCACAGGCCAACATTCCTGATAAACATAGTCACAAAACTCTTTAGCAAAATACTAGCAAACTACATTGAACAGCAGATCAAAAAGATGATACACCATGATGAAGTGGGATTTATCCCAAAATGCAAGGATGATTCAAAATATGCAAATCAATAAACAAATTGGGTCACATCCATAGAATGAAGGACAATAATCATACCATCATTTCCAAAGATGAAGAAAAAGCTTTTCAAAATGTTCAACATCCTTTCATAACAAAACCTCTTAATAAATTAGGTATTGAAAAAAAATAAAGGCCATATATAACAAGCCCATAGCTAACATACCAACATCTTTCAGCTTTTTCTCTAAGGACTGGAATCAGACAAGGATGCCCAGTCTTACTACTCTTATCAACACAGTACTGGAAGTCCTAGTCATAACAGTTAGGCAAGAGAAAGAAATAAGGAGCATCTAAATGATAAAGAAGGGAGGAGTCAAACTGTTCCTGCCTGAAGATAACATGATCTGATATACAGAAAAAGCTAAAGATGCCACCAAAAATCTCTTAGAACTGATCGACAATAATTCAGTAAAGTTGCAGAAGAATATAAAGTTAATATGCAAAAATTAGTATTACTTATATGAAGAATGAACTAAATAAACAATAAATTTAAAACACACTCCCATTTATATACAATAGCTGCAAAAAATCTAAAATACCTAGGAATAAATTTAACCAAGGAGGTGAAAAACCTCTCAAAGGGTAATTATAAAGCACTAATGAAAAACTGAAGAGGATGCAAAGAAATGGAAAGAGGCCACATGCTCAAGAATTGGAAGAATTAACAGTGTTAAGATGACAACACTATCAAAGCAATCTAGAGATTCGATGCAATCCTTATCAAAACACCAATGACAGTTTTCACAGAGACTGAAAAAAATTCTAAAATTTGGATGGAACCACAAAAGATTCCAAATGGCCAAAGAAATGCTGAGAAAAAAGAACAAAGCTGGAGGAATCACACTACCTGCTCTCAAAATATACTACAAAGCTGTAGTAACCAAAATGGCATGGCACTGGCATAAAAACAAACACATAGACAGACTAGAGAAGCCAGAAATTAACCCACATATCTACAGCAAACTGATTTTTTTATGAAGATGCCAGGAACAGCCATTGAGGAAAGGATGGTCTCTTCAATAAATGGTACTAGGAAAACTGGATATCCACATACTGGAAGAATGAAACTAGACCCCCACTTCTTACGCTATACAGAAATTAACTCAAAATGGGTCAAAGGCCTAAATGTGAGACCCAAAGTGATTAAACAACTGGAAGAAAACGTGTAGCGGAAATGCTTAGGAACAGATTTTATGGGAATCTTTTTTGGCTTCAAGGAAGAAATTCCTTCATAAGGTAGGCCAAATCCATACAGTATTTGGACAGATGTAAACTAAAGAGAATGTTTCATCTAAGGAAAAGACAACGAATCCATGAGGTTCCTTCTCACTCCATTTAAGGTAATCATATACATCTGTATATAAAATCACCATGTTGTAGATGTTGAATGCATACAATTTTTGTCAGTTTTACCTAAATGAAGCTAAATAAATCAATAAATAGCTAATAATTTAAAATAAAGAATTTTAAACGTTTTTTTTTTTTTCCCCAGGGACATAGAGCAATTTTAAGATACAGCTTTAACATTTTTCTTGGCCTCTTTTAAAAATATAAAGCTGTCAATCCATTAACTAAAACTACTTTTAAACAAAGAGTTTCTAAAATTTACAATATGTAACCATCATCGAACTGATTCAGGTGACAGGCCTTGTGGAAGAGCAAAGGAGACGTATGGTCATCAGCGTGACACAAAATCATCTTCCAAAAGTCCAGTGTGGCCTACATGACCTGAGGCTTTCACGTTAATTCAAAATTACCAATCTTAGTGAAAGGTTTACCATTTCGCATGCTTTTTAAATTCATTTTGTGATCACTGTAATAAGCTAAATGAAGGAGAAGCCCAGCATTTTTTAACTGTTCTCACTGGGGACTTTTTAACACACCCAGAAGTGCAGGAAACAGCACAGCTCGTCCTCAGGTGCAGGGGTCCGCATTCAGCCGATCTTGTTTGACAGGTGCTCCTGCACAACCCACCTCCCGGTCCTCAGCATACTTTACATTCAAAGCCAGAAGACTATCATTTTATCTGTAAGTATCATCGTCTGCATTTTTAAGTGATAAGAACATTTTTAAAGCACAAATGGCCAGGTGCGGTGGCTGACATCTGTAATCCTAGCACTTTGGGAGGCCAAGGCAGGAAGATCACGTGAGCCAGGAGTTCAGGACTAGCCTGGGCAACAGTCATATCCTCTCGTTGCTGGAAAGCAAGCTCAGGGCTCCCACCGAGTCTGCATGGTGGTGAACTGTAGTATTGTTTCGTTGTATACTACAGTGTGATCACAGTAGAAATAAAGGGCACAATGACAGTCATGCAGTTGGACCGTCCTGACACTGTCCCCGCCCCGGCCCGCCAGTCCATGGACACACCTGTCTTCCATGAAGCTCGTCCCTAGTGCCACAAAGGTTGGGGGCCACTGATGTAGAAGACAAGCTCATCAAGTTCTACCCTTCAGGAAATCAGGCATCTGCAAACCGTCATCAATCTAAAACAACGCAACAGGTTTCAAAACAAAAAGCCGGTGAACAGAAGCCACGTGTTTATGGGGCCTCTGAGGAACCTCCAAGAAACTAAACAGCCCAGAGCAGCACTGTCCAATAGGGAGGGCCTCTGTGACTGTGGAAACTTTCCAGCTGCCCATCTCTCTCACCTGTCGGGGCCACACACCCCAGATGAGGCTAGTGCAGCTGCAACCCCATTTCTGATGGGATCTCATTTGCATTCATTTGCATGTATTGGCCTGCTGTGGTGGGCAGCTCACAGGGAGGCTGGGGGTGTGACAAAAACCGAAAGCCATGGGGAAGGGCCATGTCAAAGTCAAGTTCAGGGAAGCTGAGTATCCCTCAACCAAGCATCTGAAATCCCACATGCTTGGAAATCCAAAACGCTTTGAGCACGGAGATGTTGCTCAAAGAAAACGCTCACTGGGTTATCTTGCTGAACGGGGAAATACCAAACATGAACATTTGAAATACGAAAAGATTCAAAATCAGAAACGCTTCTCTGGCCTCACCTGCTTTGAATGAGGGCCACAGAACGGCTTCTCTACACCACACTGACACACTCCATGGGCCCGATTTCCAGTCCCTTGACAGGTGACTCATACTGGCCACCAGTCAAGAAAGTGCAGAAAGTACTAGAGCCAGCAGAATCAAGTCTGAAATCTTCGAAAAGAAAAAGCTTCAACGACTGTCAAAAGACCTGAATTGCTTGTTTCACACTGTGGGACCCGCCAAGTGCTTTCTCAAGACCTTCTCTAGCCAAGTGCTAAACTGCAGGACACAAATGTGGGTTAGACTCAAAACAGCCTGAGAAAAGCTAGAGTCAGGAGCGGGCGCCGAGTGACCCCCACACACTGGTGGATACGGCCAACCCCACAGCAGTAGGGAAGCTGGGAAGCGCAGCCCCTTGGAGTGGCAGTAGTGACAGGTGTGGCCAGCGACAGGTGTGGGGAGGGCCAGGTGTGGTCAGTCATGGGAGTGGGGGGGGGCCGGGTGTGGTCAACCATGGGAGTGCGGGGGGCCGGGTGTGGGTCAGCGATGGGGGTGGGGACGGCCGGGTGTGGGTCAGCGATGGGGGTGGGGACGGCCGGGTGTGGGTCAGCCATGGGGGTGGGGATTTCCGGGGAGACTGTTTCACGGGGAAGGAAGGGTCATATTGAGTATGGTTTTCAAATAAGCCTTTGAGTAAACGAACTTCAGATAGTTTTGCTTTATGCCTGAACACCATCAAAACTTTCTCTAAGTCAAAAGTATCAGTTGAGTGAATCCTCGCTGACTTCCTGCACAGCTGAGTGGATGGTCTTTGGGGTAAACAAAGAAGGGGGCTCCCTATTTCATGCAGTGACATAAAGGGAAAGGACCAGTCAAAGCCTGTCCCCTTTTCGGCCGGACACCGCAGAGGCAAACCACAACAACACGGACGCCCCCTGGGGTGCAGCCGCTCCCAGGCACCGCGGGCTGCTGAGGCGGTTTGGCCATTTTCAGGCCGTGTTCCAGAGGGCCGCTAAGTGTCTGCTGTAAGCAGACAGCACCATCCCTAAAAGGAGCTCCCACCAACTCAAGAATGCACTGCTGTGGGACCGGGGATAGGACAGTAGCTGGCATTTAAAACGGTGCCATCCTCTGCCCTCTCCCTGAGCACGCAGGCACACACACCGTCCTACAGAAAGTTACCTGCTCGCAAAACTGGATCATCGCATTCACTATCAAAGGCGACAGAGGCTGAAACTGGCAGTGAACTCTGAGGTTTCCTTTCAGCTCCTACAGTGATGAAGAGGTTTGCACGTCAGCACAGGTGCACTGCACTGCAGAGCGTTCCCCACTGAGTATATCCCGAGCACCAGCTCCTGAGATGCGGCCGTGAGGTCTGCAGCTGCCCGTCTTCACTTCAAAAGACCCCTGCAGCGTAGCGGACAGTTATTTTAGTTAGTTAGTTAGTTAGTTATAGAGACAGAGTCTTGCTCTGTCGCCCAGGCTGGAGTGCAGTGGTGCAATCTCAGCTCACTGCAACCTCCGCCTCCCTGGTGCAAGTGAGTCTCCTGCCTCAGCCTTCTGAGTAGCTGGGACTACAGGCATGCGCCACCACGCCCAGCTAATTTTGGTATTTTTAGTAGAGACAGAGTTTCATCATGTCGGCCAGGCTGGTCTTGAACTCCTGACCTCAGGTGATCCACCCACCTTGGCTTCCCAAAGTGTTGGGATTACAGGCATGAGCCACTGTGCCCAGCTGTGAATAGTTATTTTAAATCTCTGGATTCATACATAACAGATTTATTCACTTGGTAAAGGGTTATCACTTGGTAACAGGTACCAAAGGAAACCCCTTCAAATGGCATCCTAGGATCAACCTTTTAGGCATTTTAGAGGAAATTTTGGAAATTTGGTACCTGTCATACTTCCCTGAATTAAGGCCTGAAAAAGGAATGAGAATCTCTCTCTCTCTCTTTTTTTTTTTTTTTTTTTTTTTTTGAGGCGGAGTCTTGCTCTGTCAGCAGGCTGGAGTGCAGCGGCACAATCTCGGCTCACTGCAACCTCCGCCTCCTGGGTTCAAGCGATTCTTCTGCCTCAGCCTCCCGAGTAGGGTAGCTGGGACCACAGGCGTGTGCCACCACGCCCAGCTATTTTTTGTATTTTTAGTAGAGACGGGTTTCACCATGTTGGCCAGGATGGTCTTGATCTCTTGACCTCTGATCTGCCCGCCTCGGCCTCCCAAAGTGCTGGGATTACAGGTGTGAGCCACCGTGCCTGGCCCAAGAATCTCTTTATTCTCAAAAACCCCACTGGCTTCCAGCAAGCAACCGTCTTCCCTGTACATGCTCAGAAACTTGCAAAATCCGTTCTGAAATCTTGTCTTGGATTCACAGCAAGCTTATTCACCCTGTGGCGCTGAGCAGATCCTTCTGCATTTTGAAGACTGAGTGAGTGTCACAGGCCAGCCATTACAGCCTGGGTCTGGTCTCTGTGACCCACAGAAGCTGGGCTCAGCCTCTGCTTGCACGTTCCACGGGCCACGCACTGCAGACCCGTCAGATAGGTGGTGGTACCGTGAAGATTAAATAAGAAAATACACCACAATGCTTTCAAAAGTACGTGGTACACAGGAAGCACTCAATAAATGTTCCCTTATATCAATGTTTGGAGCACTGAACTATGTAAGCAGACACGTAAAATGAGAATTATTCTTGGACACATCTAACAGCTGGAGGGAGAGCACCTCAGCACGGCCGAGAGAGAAGCTTGCCGGGCCTCGGGCAGCTGGAATTCGGGGAGACTGGCCAGACTGCAGCCAACAAAACCAGCCCTCCCAGAAGCGAAGTTCGCCCACTCAGTCATCCCCTTTGGCATCCTCATGCTAAAATCGAACCCCGTGACTTGACGTTACATTGCACGGGATCTCAGGTCTCACATCTTCGACAAAGAAGGCATGAGAGCCTTGAGGTCTTGTTAACAGGCAGGAGAGACGTGGCCGGAAGGTGCTGGTGACTGGGGGCAGAGCCATCTCCGCTGGCACCTCCGGTTACTCCAGAATCCCTGCTTTTCCTGAGAGGGTCCCCATCTCTGCAGATTCCACGCCCCCGCCCCCTCTACCCACACAGTACCTTTCCCTGGGCCTCACCGCAGCCAGTCCCACTTCCTGCATCACCACCAACATGGCCCAAGTCGCTGGCCCGTGACACCACAGTCATCCCCCTGCTCCCCATTGTGGCCTCCTGACAGAGCAGCCAGAGTGACCCCCAAAAGCCTAAATCAGCCTGTGGCACCCTCACTCCTCCTCCAGCTGCCATCACCTCCTGGGTTAAGGGGACGCCAGTCACCGCCCCCGTGGCTCTGCCCCTCTGCCCTCTGGCCAGGATGCCAGCCGTCCTTCCTGCCCAGCACTCTCCCGAGAGGGGCTTCTGCGTGTTCCTCGTGGGTCTCCCCCGACGCCCACGCTCACACCAGGCTGTTGTCAGGACCTTCCTCCTCTGCCTCTCCAGCTGGTGACGGGCGCCGACGTCCTGGGAGGCCCGCTCCAGGTCCATCTCCTGTGACTGGCACGCTGAAAGGACAGAGGGACAGAGGCATTTTACTGGAGAGGACTTCCCTGGAGCCCAGCAGCTCAGGTTCCTTCCTCTGAGCATGGAAGACATTTTTAAAAACGTGGAGCCCGCCAGGGCCTGCTGTGTGCTGTGGCATGTGCTCCAGGCCACTTTGGACCAGGGTCCACCATCCCCACCGCGACCAGAGACTCACATGGGAACCTGGCCCCACAGTCACCCTGTCCACCGTCAGCCTGAAATGCCATCAGCCTGTGAATGTGGCCCCATCGTCTGTACAGCAGCCAAGGAGACCTGCTCCCCAGAGCACGTGCAGAGCCCGTGGTGAGCAGGGGCCGGGCGGGGAGGAGACACTGGGCCCGGCTCTGCGGTCATGGATTGTCACGGAGGTCTGGGCCTCCACGCCCGCCTCTGTCCCACTATGATGGCGCTGCCGTGGACTGTCACAGCCGTGTTGTGGGGGTGAGTGGACACTGCGTGGGGACCGTGGCCAAGCTTCGACACCTCAATGCCCAGACTGGCCGTTGCCGTGGAGGCAGCGTGAGGGTGATACGGAGCTCGGTGTCGTGGCAGCCAGGGGCCCCTCCATGTGTCACATGCCATTTAGCAAAAGGATGCGGCTGGCCCAGGGCTTTCTACCCCAGGCCAAGGACCTCCAGGGACAAGGCACCCTTAGCACAGATGCCGCTCTCATAAGGCCTGAAACCAAGCTGTCCTTACGGGAACCGTGCACACTCCCTCTCGGACAGAAACACCGTCATCTGGTCCAGAGCGAGTGCCGGCGTAAGAAGGCAGGAAGTTCCCCACGCCGAGACGGAGACGGTAGGGCACGCTGGGAGCCAGATGTAGGGCTGAGGGCCCCCCAGGGTCGTGGGGTGAGCCTTATGCTGTGCTGAGGCGCAGGATTCAAGAAATAGACAGGACACAGAAGTACAAAGAAAACGCAGCTGGGCTCGGGGGGCCACGCCACCTGTAAGCAGAGTCAGGCCAGGCCCCGAACGTCCAGAAGCGTGAGTATTTACTGTGTATAGGTTACGGGGCAGGGCAGGGAGTGAAATCATCTTTAAGGATAGTGATAGGGTCGTGAGCAATAAAACATGGGGTCCACCCCCATAAGGTCACCTAGGCCAGGAGGTGGACAGCTCGCACCAAGGGGCCCGTTCCCATGAAGGCAAGGGTCGTGCGCAGTAAGGGGTCCACCCCCATTAGGTCACCGAGGCTTGAAGGTGGCTCATGCATAGTGAAGAGGGTGCAGTGTGCAATACCTCTATCTATGGGCAAGCTACTTCTAAGAAGATTTATGGGGGATACTTTAAGTCACACAGCAGTGACAGGGCTGTCAGGGTTACCGCCACCTTCTGGCAGCTTCCAATGGGTTCTTTGGGAAGATGCTTTTCGAGCAGCACAGTAGCAAGAGCTGATAAAGTTCACAGTAACCAAGGTGGACTGCCGTTCTGAGGGCAGCCTTCCACAGGAACTGGAGCAAGGTCCTACAACTCCTTTATCAGGAGGATTGGCTCTCGCCCCAAGCCTGCCTTACAGCGGGTATCTTTACGATACTGAACGCTGCCGCCTGGGCCATGGAGTCTTGTCCTGGTGTAACTGTTCTTCCCTTAAACCATGCTCTGCACTGTGTCTGCTCTAGGCGTTCCTCTGACTATAAGCTGCTTATCCCTTAATTCATGCTCTGTACTGTGTCCACTCTAGGCATTCCTCCGATTATGAACTAAGATATAATTTTAGGTATATATGTAGGGAAATATTCTTTAGGCACTCATACTATCAACTATTAATGATTATATAGAGAGGATTATATAAAGGGAGGCTTCAAGCCCTATTTCTATAAACTAATATATGATTATGTAAAGGATTATATAAAGGGAAATAGCTGAGTAGTAACACTATAAAGTGAGATATTCCTCAAACCCTAACTGTGCCAGGGTTCTGCTTAGCTCTCATTCCTCGGTGCCTGTATGGGGGGTTACCCACAAGAGACCCTCCCAGCCACTCTGCCATCTGAGCCTTGACTTTGTCCAGCCCCAGCCCCAGCCTGTCCCCACCATCCCTCTCGTCAGCGTGGCCAGAAGGAGCTGCCTGGGCACCTGAAGTCCCTGAGGCTCCTCTCTGGGGAGAATGGAACTGAAGGGGAGAAGCCGTGCCCCCCAGGGAAGCGAGGTAAGGAGGCCCCAAGTCCCTGAGCCAGACGTCTGGGCACAAATGAGCCACCTGGGACCCCTCTGTGTGGCAGGACTGCTCGGTGGCTCCTGTGGGTGGGGTCTCAGCATTCCCCACTCCTGGCAGGAGAGCCTTGGCTGTTCCCTGCCTCTCCCTTTGAGTTGCATATTTTCAAAGCTTAGGTAGCCTGCTTTTCACAAAATCACATTATCGTCCCTTTCCCTGGAGCACAGGGCTTATAAGAACACAGGCATGGCCGGGCGTGGTGACTCACACCTCTAATCTCAGCACTTTGGGAGGCTGAGGCGTGTGGATCACCTGAGGTCAGGAGTTCGAAACTAGCCTGGCCAACATGGTGAAACCCTATCTCTACTAAAAATACAAAATTAGCCGGGTGCAGTGGCACATGCCCGTAATCCTAGTTACTCGGGAGGCTAGGGCAGGAGAATCACTTGAACCCGGGAGGCAGAGGTTGCAGTGAGCTCAGATTGCGCCACTGCATTCCAGCCTGGGTGACAGAGTAAGTCTCTGTCCCCACCAAAAAATAAAAAACCAAAAAACCACACAGGCATGCACATCTCACTCCTACAAACACAGCCTCAGGGGAGTTACTGAGCAGCACGCTCTGAAGAGAACCAGGTGACTGCAGTTATTTCCATGAAACATCACGTGGCCTCACTGAAAATCAGGACAGGCTCCAACCTTTCCATAAACCTATTTTGGAATCACACTTAAACACATTCCTATCTTTACTATAATCTCTTTGCTCCGTGGACACACTGAACACTGGGCAGAAGCTGTGAGCATGAGGCGAACACTGGGACAGCGCTATCTGTTTTTGTTTGTTTGTTTGTTTTTTGAGGCTGAGACTCGCTCTGTCACCCAGGCTGGAGTGCAGTGGCACGGTCTCGGTTCACTGCAACCTCCACCTCCCGGGTTCAAGGGATTCTCCTGCCTCAGCCTCCCAAGTAGCTGAGATCACAGCCCCATGCCATCACGTCCGGCTAATTTTTACATTTTTAGCAGAGACAGGGTTTCGCCATGTTAGCCAGGCTGGTCTTGAACTCCTGGCCTCATGTTATCTGCCCAGCTCTGCCTCCAAAAGTGCTGGAATTACAGGCATGAGCCACTGGGCCTAGCCGGACAGTGCTATTTGGATGACGAGTTTAAAACTGCAGCACCAAAGTGGCCTCTTCCACAGGCTTCAAGCATAGTAGTTGAAGATAATAAATAAATCCATTATAATGAAAGAGTGGCCAAAATGCAGTGGCATTCTTAGAAATGAGGAAAGAACTGAACTGAGATAAAAAGCCTCATGTTGTCATATTCTAGGTCACCGTGACACAGAAAGCCCAGCGTGGACACAGGTGCCCATTCAGCAGTGACTGTCAAGGCCAAGGAAGTGCCCTGTGGTGACTAAGAGAAAACAGAGCTCTCCGAGCGAGCAGGGCTGCGGTGTGAGCTGGGAGGAGCAGGTGCGCACACGTGGCTGAGTTACACAGCACTTACTCTCGCCTGAATTCGGTGTCAGCTAAAAGGAAAAAGGAATGGAAACATAAATTCTAGCCAGTCGTTGTCTTAGAACTGCAGACATTTTCCTTGAGCGTGGACTGGCCTGGCTTCGGCGAAAGGCCCCTCCTACCTCGCAGAGTCTCGCTGCTGAGCGGGGTTCTCTGCACGGCAGTCACTACTCAGAAACGCGGTCCTGAAAGTCATCCTGATAATCTCTTAAGAGAGCCCAAGAAGAACAGAACGCCTTTATATCTTGCTTAAGTTTCTACAAAATAAGAATATACACAATTAGTAAAATTAACCATATTCTTAATCATCACAGCTCAATGTGTCTCTACAGAATATTAACACACCCACACGGTCACTGTCACCGGCCGGGACATGCTGTGAGCTGCATGGATTTAAAGCTCCTCGGCCCAGGCGTGTCCACACCAGCTCCCCGGGCCTCGGCTCGCTTACAGAAGTTCTCACTCAATACGACTCAGTACATCTGGGATTTGTACTCACTTTTTTATTTATTTATTTATTTATTTATTTATTTTGAGATGGAGTCTCACTCCGTTGCCCAGCCTGGAGTGCAGTGGCCCAATCTCGGCTCACTGCAACCTCCACTTCCCAGGTTCAAGTGATTCTCCTGCCTCAGCCTCCTGAATAACTGGGATTCTAGGCGTGTGCCACCATGCCCAGCTAATTTTTATATTTTTAGTAGAGTCGGGGTCGGCCAGGCTGCTCTCAAACTCCTGACCTTGTGACCCATTCACCTCGGCCTCCCAAAGTGCTGGGATTACAGGCCTGAGCCACTGTACCTGGCCGGGATTTATACTTTCAAATGCAGCACATGTGATTTTAAGCCTTTAAAGTATTTAAGAAACAGAAAGTCAAGTATTTCAGCAATTTCCGTAGGAAGCAGCGTTTCTGTCTGCTGTTTACTTCCTCACGATGCTGGCTCAGGCTCGGAGCCTCTCATCACCGCCTGTGAAACGGGACCACCCTCCAGATCTACTCTCCAGACCCTGCTTCTGGAAGCTCAATTATCTCGAGCACAAGGTGGAAAACAGGAGGGCCCGTGAAAACAACTTCATGTAAATGCACATAATAAAATTCCAGGCACAAGAAATACGAGAAGTCCGGGAGCAAAGCAAGTGAAGTCCTGCATGCAAAGTCCTCTTCTGCCCTGAAATTCCCTCAAGAATCTTCCATGTGAAGATCTGACAGAACTGGGACACTACCGTTTAATATTTAATGTCAGACACTCTTTTTTTAAGACAGAGTTTCACTCTCGTTGCCCAGGCTGGAGTACAATGGCGTGGTCTCAGCTCACTGCAACCTCTGCCTCCGGGTTCAAGCCATTCTCCTGCCTCAGCCTCCCGAGTAGCTGGGATTATAGGCATGAGCCACCATGCCTGGCTAATTTTGTATTTTCAGTAGAGATGGGGTTTCTCCATGTTGCTCATATCAGACCCTCCAAAATCACAAGAGCATAACCAAACTTAAACAGGTATTCTTTGTTTCTAGTCAGTCTCTCTTTTTCTATAAAATGGAGTAACTCATATGTTTGAAAAACATTTTAATAAATTAACAACAGTTTAATATCAAAACAATAAAGTATTTTATATGGAGTACAGATAAAGTTATGCAACTTATTCAATGATTAATTTTACTGAGTTGGAAGAGAATGAAAATTAATTTTATATAGATCTATTGTAAATACACTAATGTAATTTACAGAGGGGATATCTCTAATTCTGACTTACAAAGAGAAGAGATTAACCTTGTTAACCGATGTTTTATTGTGGTAGTAATTATGCTGGTCACATTGTTTAAAACAAAAGGTAAAAACAATGTTCTCAACCAAACATATAAAAACATCCTCCTGCAATTTCCCCCTGGAGAACTGCCAAATACACTACATGGAATAACAATTTTCCCAACTTCCTTTCTAGAAATTATTAGTAGTTTAAGAGGAGCTGTTCACATTTGATGACCTGCTATACCAGATCTACTTAATTAACACATATAAACATGTTTCCTACCATTTAACGTTAAAATGGAAAATTCTGATTAAAATAAGATTTTAGTTTCACAATTTAATTAAAATGAGAATTTTGACTAAGAAAGTTGAACTGCTACCACAGCTATTTGAAACAATTCATTTCATGGCCAAAATGTATTTTTCCTTCTGATTTTTGCTCATAATCCCAATCCTGTGTTTTGTTTTGTTTTTAGGATTAGTCTTCTATTTAATATGTATTAGAAAGCAGAACTCCCAGAGTGAACACTATCTGCAACTGATCATGAAAATAGTAATGATTTTGGCTGGGTGCGGTGGCTCACACCTGTAATCCCAGCACTTTGGGAGGCAGAGGTGGGCAGATCACCTGAGGTCAGGAGTTTGAGACCAGCCTGGCCATCATGGTAAAATCCCACCTCTATTAAAAATTCAAAAAAATTAGCCTGGGGTGGTGGTGGGAGCCTGTAATCCGAGCTACTCTGGAGGCTGAGGCAGGAGAATCACTTGAACCCATGAGGTGGAGGTTGCAGTGAGCCGAGATCGTGCCACTGCACTCCAACCTGGGTGACAGAGTGAGATGTTGAACCAAAAACAAAAACAAAAACAAAAACAAAAAGAAAGAAAGAAAATAGTAAGGATCGTATACTCTTCATTGGGAGTGTAACGGAAAACCTGTATCTAACACCGGAGGGGCTTTCCTTCGCAGTGAGGGCTTCTGTGACTTCCCAAGACTACATCTCTTTGGACAAGCATAATTCAAACCGTCTCCCTGGAAGTAAACATTCACTGCATAAACGAAGACTCTGGCTTCTGGCGAAGCTGTGTTTACCTGAATGGCGGACCCCGCGGCTCGGGGCCGAGCGTTTCTCTGCAGATGCTGCTGTCTGTCTGCGGGCTGGAGATCCGCGCGGCCTCACTGCGGCTCTTCTCAGTCTTTCCCTGGTGCTGCCGCATAGAAGAGACCCAAAGACAAGCTCAAGTCCTACAGCCTCGAAGCTGAAGCGGTGGAGAGCCGAACCTGTCCTCTCCCGAGGAGAGAATGTCCGCTGATGGTCCCCGCGCACCTGCCCCGTGAGAGACGACACCACCCTGCGCGGGGCTCACGGCGGCAGGGGACGCGGCCGCCACAGCTCCAGGGGAGCCAGGCGTGGGCAGGGCCTGGAGCCACAGCGGCCGTGGGGGAGGCATCCCCAGGGCTGAGCCCGAGGGTCCCGGCAGGTGCAGGGAGGCAGGATGTCCCGGACGAGGGGCCGCGGGTTTGGCCTGACGCCGCCCGCTGAGACTCAGCATCGCCCGTGGGTGAGCTCGGGGTGGCATGCTGCCTGCGGTGCCCCCCGGGAGCCGAGCCCGGCCCGAGTCCTGGCACAGAGACGGCCGGACTCCATGCCTCAGGAGCAGAGGGACAGGGGCGAGCCGGGCCCAGAGGGGCAGGGAGCCTGCCAAGCGGCTGAAAGTGACCGTGGAGCACAGACGGCTCCCGAGGAGGGCGCAGTTCGGAAAAAAAATCGCTGCATTTTCCATGCGAGCTCCTCCGAGTGGGAAGGCTGGCAGAGAACTGCAGGGGGGCACTCCGAGAGCCAGGAGGGTGAAGAGGCCGCCAGAGCACTGGGCCGGACCCGTGGGGGACCCGAGGGTGGGGCTGGGGAACGTGTTCCCACCCTCGTCCGACTGAAGAAGAAGCTGCAGCAAAATTAAGTGTCTGGCACCCAAAGGCTCAGAGCGTACTCGGGGAGAAAGTGGCACTGTGCACACGTTAGAAATCACCCGCCTGTGAGTGCTGGAACGGTGCTCTAAAGCCGCCAGTGTTCACCAGGAGTAACGGCAATTCCAAGAATATCCATGGCGCCAGGATGGCCTGTGCTCAACGTGGGGCGGCCTGAGCTTTGGGGGATTTGGCTGTGGGCAACAGGACAGGGAGCAAGCCCTGCGTGGGGACAGGGAGGCGGCACTGTGCTGGGTGCTGAGGGACGGAGTTGCATGGAAATAAAGTCACCACCTGTTGGGCAAGGGACATGGGACTCATCTTGGTGAGGTTCAGGGGAGCCGGAAGCACGAGTCACGGGCAGGAAGCTCCACCTCGGGGAAGGTGAGAGGCCCCGTGCGCCGGCAGGACCCCCTGCAAGGTGCCTGGGGTGGACCGTGCTCCACCTGCGTCCCGGCCCGGGAGCCCCCGGGGAAAGGCCGTTTCATTGCAGGGCCCCTGACGCCAAGTGTGTCACATGCCAAGGCCACGGTCTGTGTGGCCTGTGGGAGGCAGCAGGCATGGCCACCGAGGGGAGGTCGGGCTTCCAGTGACCAGAACCACCGCCAGGGACTCGCAGTGCAGACGCCAGGCGCCACGGCTGTTTCCCACTCTGTGCCTAATGATCTTAATGTTAAAAAAGAGCCTTTAAAAATCTCATCCAAAGGATACCGGAAAAGCCGCCGGACTCAGACAGTGCCCCCACCCACGGCACGTGGTGACAGCAGCAGGCTCTGCACCCGACCCAAATGGGAAGGCTGGCGTGCACCGAGGGGCAGCAGCCACACCAGCAGCCGCTCTTAACTGGTGCTGGGGCCGCAGAGACTGTGATGTCTTGGAGAGCCACACATCCTCAGTGACTCTTAGTGGGGACCATCCATGTTCCACTGGAAAAGGCTTTGGTGGAATGTGAGGCGCTCAGGGCTCACCTCTGCAATCCCAGGCACCCTCAGGCACTCGCAGGCAGGTGTCTAGGCCCCTCCTCCACGGGAGGACCCGTGTCCCTGGCCAAAGATGGGGGCTGGAGTGATTGTGGAGCAGCGACACCTCGGGTTCCCTGAGACCTTGTTGACCAACAGTCTTGACCCTTCTCACAAAGTCACGAAATGCTGTGGGGCTCTCAGGCTGGATGGGGATTGCTGCTTCCCACTGTTTTCATTATTGTAGAATTACACCTCACACTCCCAGAGAACCGTGTGGAGCTGTTTTCATTTCTGTAAAATGACACCACGTAGAATTATACCAGGTACTCCCAGGGAACAACGTGGCCTGGAACAGGGTGGCTGCATGTGATGCTCAGCCCCACAGCGTTTTGTCATTGTGAAACTGGGAACATTTTTAACCTCTCCGGGCCCCAGGGCTGCTGCCGGTGAGCCTTGGTCTTCAGTGCCCAGGAAGGGCACGATAACCAGGCACGCCCGTGCCGCAACGCCCCAAGAAAGACGGAGCTTAAACACGAATGCAGAATATATTCACTTCACCTCAGAAGTAGTATGACTATCCCTTAATTAACTTGCAAATTTAGTGCAACTACATTTTTTTTTTCCAAGAAAATTTGACAGGGTTATTCAATGACAGTCAAGAAGAGTTGAAATTCCCTTGGCCCTGACGCAGCTAGGATTCCAAGAATACTAAAGGGGTGATAATTTAAGAGATGAGAACACATGGTTTCCTATTTCCACTGTGAGAAGTCCTGGGAAGCTGGGGGCTTACACCAGAAGCTTCTGGTCTCACCGTTCTGCAGGCAGAAGTCCAAGCCCAAGGTGTGGGTCCGACCCCCTCAGGGACCCCAGGGAGGACCCTCCTCCTCCTCCTCCTCCTCCTGGCTCTGCCTCTGCCTTCGATCCTTGGCCTGCAGTGGAACTGCCCAGGACACATGGCCACATCTGAAACGCGCCCTTCCTGTGTCTCTCCGTGTTGAGGTTTCTCTGCCTCCTCCTCTACGGACACTCGTGATGGCATTTAGAGCCCACCAGGAGGACCCAGGACACTCTCCCACCTCAAGGGTCTTCATTTACCCACATCTGCAAACGTCCTTTTTCCCAGCCAGTTCACATCCTGATGAGGAGCTTCCAGGGACCCCATGTGGCAACAGCAAATGATAGAAAAGGATCACCCGAGTCCGTGCTCACGCACGGCATTCTCCACGTGTGTTCTCCTCCCACCCGTGTTAGACGTGGGCTCAGAGAGGCTGGCTGGGAGGGCTGCAGGCTGTCACAGAAACACTGGAGCACAGAAGCAGCCAGTGCAAAGGCCCTGAGGTGGGAAGGAGCGTGGTGTGTTGAGGACAGGGTGGAGGCTGGAGAGGCCACTGAGTGGGTGAAGGAGGCTGAGGTTGGAAGGAGGCCAGGGCGTGGCCAGGATGTCAGCCAGGTGGAAGCCCAGGTTTGATCCCACATAGACCGGAGGGTCCTGGAGGGTCTGACGTAGTCATACATCACCTACCAACAGTAAGCATGGAGGGAGCCAGCAACCAGAAAATTCCATGCAAAGACAACCAACAGTTTCTTAGGAAGGGGGCCCAGGCAGCCCCTCCTCCTGGGGGGGTCAGTCCTCTGCTGGGGACCCTCCTCCCCAACGCCTGCTGATGTGGCCACAACCAGCTGTGGTCTTTTGTGGTCAGTCTCGGTTGTAACTCCAAACTCTGGGACTGGCGGTATGAGTGGAGGCCTTGGGAGTCATCTACCCCCTCAGTCCCCAACCTTTGTGCCACCAGGGACTGGCTTCATGGAAGACGGTTTTTCCAGTGTGGGGTAGTGTGGTTTTGGGATGAAACTGTTCCACCCCCAGGTCATCAGGCACTAGATTCTCATGAGGAGTACACAGCCTGGATCCCTCGCACCTGCATTCACAAGAGGGTTGGAGATCCGCCCGGAATCGAATGTCAGCGCTGATCTGCCAGGAGGCGGGACTCAGGCGGGAATGCTCGCTCGCCCTGCTCACCTTCCGACCTCATGCTGTGCAGCCCAGTTTCCTAATGGGCCACGACCAGTACGGGCCCAGGCATGGAGGCTGGGGGCCCCTGGTCTACGCTATCCATTGCTACACGCAGTCAGTTTAACCTCCTTTTTTTTTTTGGAGACAGAGTCTCACACTGTTGCCCAGGCTGGAGTGCAATGGTGTGATCTCAGCTCACAGCAGCAACCTCTGGGTTGCTGGGTTCCAGCCATTCTCCTGCCTCAGCCTCCCAAGTAGCTGGGTTTACAGATGCCTGCCACCACACCCTGCCAATTTTTAAACATTTTTAGTAGAGACCAGGTTTCACTATGTTGGCCAGGCTGGTCTCAAACTCCTGACCGCATGATCCACCCACCTGGGCCTCCCAAAATGCTGGGATTACAGGCATGAGCCACTGCGCCTGGCTCAGTCAGCTTAACCTATTAAAAAGAAGTCTCTGGAATATTTCCTTTCTAGTCCACTTAATTCCAAGATTGCGCCCTCTCTTCATGGACACCTGCGTGGTGGATACCACCACTCTCTTCCCCTGCTTCGTCCTTCTGGAATTAGCTGACAACGATTCCACAGCCTGACTGAGGTACAAGTCATATGCCCTACAATTCGCTCACCTGAAGGGCCCAGCTCAGGACCTGCAGGGTACTGTGAGTAGTGAAACAATCACCAAAGTTAGTTTCAGAATATTTTCATCTTCCTCCAAAGAAACTCTTAGACAAGACCCCTCACTGCTTCCTCCCACAGTGCTCTGAAACCACTGATCCATTTCCTGGTTTTGTATTTGCCAATTCTGGACATTTCACGCCAACGGAATCAAACGGCGCATGGTCCTTTGTGTCTGCCTTCCGCTCACTCTAAGATTTTCAGGGCTCAATCATGTGTAGCAGTATCAGAATTTCATTCCTTTTTATTGCCAAATGACATTCCAGTGCATGGATGTACAACATGTTTATTCACTCGTCAGTCGGTGGACGTTCAGATTTTCTCTTCCTCTTGATTATTTTGAGTAGTGCTGCCAGGACATTCCCTTACAAGCTTTTGTGGGGAAATGCTGTCACTTCTCTTGGGCACATATATGTAGCATTTTGAGGAACTGTCACACTGTCCTCCAGAGCAGTGGTGAGGCAGGAGAAGAGGGAATTAGGGTAACCAAGGGTTAAGGTGTAAGCAGAGGAGCAGCAGGTGTGGCCAGTTCCAGGCAGGACTGGGCAGACCGGGGCCACAGCCTCCCTCCTGTGAGAACACGACTCCAGCCTCGGAGATCACCTCAGGGCCACAGCTCCACTGCGGCCTCTGATTGGTCACAGGCCGCTAAAGGGCACCTACGGGTGCTACCACATTCTTTCTGCTTAAGAAAAACCCTAAAGAACCTGGCAGCTGGGTCTCCTGAGCCGCTCGCCGAGCCGGCTCCCACTCTGTGCAGCGCAGCGTCACCGCAGGACATCTGCGCGTATCTGCGCGTTCAGTACAGCTGTGCTTCTGTGGCTTTGTTTGTGTATTTTGTTCAATTCCTTGTCAACACACTAAGAACCTGGACAACTCACAGTGAAAACGTCCCTCCGGTGACAGGGTCCTCGCCACGACTGCAGGAGGATCCCAGCTTCTCCGCCTCCTCTCCAACACCGGCTATTCTCTCTCTTTTTGATTATAGTCCTCTTTGTGGGCAAGTAGTGGTGTCACACTGCGGTGTTACCTGTTTTTCCCTGGTGGCTAATCATGAGCATCATTCTCAGTGTAAAATCCTATTAAGTCTTATACCTTGCACTTCTTTGGTTAAAGGTATTCCAAAATATTTTGATATTTTTTATGCTGTTGTAAGTGGATTGTTTTCTTTTTCTTTCTCTCTCTCTCTCTTTTTTTTTTTTTTTTTTTTGACAGAAAAAATTGTTTTCTTTTTCTCTTTTTTTTTTTTTTTTTGCCACCATTTCACTCCTGCCACCCAGGCTGGAGTGCAATAGTGTGATCTCGGCTCACTGCAACCTCCACCTCCCAAGTTCAAGTAATTCTCTTGCCTCAGCCTCCCAAGTCACTAGGATTACAGGTGCCCACCACCATACCCAGCTAGTTTCTTTGTATTTTTAAGAGAGACGGGGTTTCGCCTTGTTGGCTAGGTTGGTCCCAAACTCCTGACCTCAGGTGATCCACCTGCTTTGTCCTCCCAAAGTGCTGAGATTACAGGCATGAACCACTGTGCTCAGCCTTCTTCTTCTTCTTCTTCTTTTTTTTTTTTTTGATACAGACAGGGTCTTGCTATGCTGGCCAGGTTGGTCTCGAACTCTTGGCCTCAAGCAATCCTCCTACCTCAGCCTCCTGGAATGTTGGGATTACAGGTGTGAGCCATCATGCCTGGCTGAAATTGTTTTCTTAATTTCATTTTCAGTTTTTTTATTCATACAGTATAGAAATATATTTGCTTTTGTATATTGATCTTACTATATTCGTCAACCTTGCCAAATTTGTTTATTTACTGCAAATTAGTTTTCTTTTAGTGGATTCCTTTTTTTTGTTTGTTTGTTTTTAGAGACAGAGTCTTGCTCTGTCATTGAAGCTGGAGTGTAATGGGGTGATCTTGGCTCACTGCAACCTCCACCTCCTGGGTTCAAGCGATTCTCCCATTTCGGCCTCCCGAGTAGCTGGGGTTACAGGTGACCACCATCATGCCCAGCTAAGTTTTGTATTTTTGTAGAGACGGGGTTTTACTGTGTTGGCCAGGCTAGTCTTGAACCCCTGACGTCAATTCTCCCACCTCGGCCTCCTAAAGTGCTGGGATTACAGGCATGAGCCACTGCACCCGGCCACTTTTTAGTGGACTTATTAGGATTTTCTGTCTACGTGATTACGTCATCTGTAAATAAGAGATCCTCTTCCTTCTTCCTCTCTGACATAGATGCCATTTCCTCTCAATTCCCCTGCCCTATCCCCTGACTAGTGCTTCCAGGACAGTGTCGACAAGACGTGTTGGGAGTGGAAGTGCCCATCTTGCTCCGGGTCTCCAGGGAGAGGTGTTGGGTCTTTCAGCATTGTGTCATTAGCTGTGGTTCCGTCACTGATGCCTTTGATCAGATGGGGAATTTCCCTTCCATTCTTATTTGGTTGTTTTTATTATGAAGAGGTGTTAAATTGTCAAATGCTTCCTCTGGGTTTATTAAGACAATCATAGCTGTTTTGTCCTTTATTGTGTTGATAAGGTCTATTACATTAACCAACTTTTGAAAGCTGAACCCACCTTGCATTCCTGGAGTAAGTCCCGCCTGCTGATGGTGTATAATCCTCTTTACACATTGCTGGATTCTGCTGACTCCTCTATTGTTGAGGGTTTCTGCACCTCATTTATGAGAGATACTGCTCTCTAGTTGTCTTTGCTCTTGACATCTTTCTGTGGCTTTACAGAAATATGGCCTCATTGTGTGGGAAGTATTCTCTCCTCTTCCAGATCTTGAAAAGTTTGTGACAGACTGGTGCCAATTCTTCTTTAAGTGTCCGGTAGAATTCGATGAAGCCATCTGGGTCTGAACTTTTCTTTGTGGAAGTTTTGGATTATTAATTCGATCTCTCTACTCATTACATTTCTATTCAGATTTTCTATTTCTTCTTGAATCCGTTTTGGGAGTTTGTGTTTTTATAGGAACTTGACCATTCATTTAATTTGTTGGCCGTATTCATAGTATTTTCTTATGATCTTTCATATTTCTGTAAGATAATATTCCCTTTTTTATTCTTTTTTTTTTTTAATAGAGATGGGGTCTCACCGTGCTGCCCAGGCTGGCTCCTAACCTCCCACCTCGGCTTTTCCTTCTGTATTCTTGATATTTGCGATTTGAGACCATTTTTAGTCAGTCAACCTAAAGATTCATCAATTTTAGTGATATTTTCAAAGAGCCAATTATTGGTGTCAATTTTCTCTGTAGTTTTTCTATTTCCTTTACTTCTGCTCTAATCTTTCCTGTTTGTTTCCTTCTGCGTGAGTCTAGTTTGCTGTGCTTCGTCCACCGTCTTAAGTAGGAGAGTAGGTTGCCGGCGTGAGATCCGTCTGCTTTTCAAATACAGGCTTTCACATCTACACATCTCCGTCTACGCATTGCTTCACCTTCATCAGTCAGTTTCTGTAATGTGGTGTCTTCATTTTCATTTATGTCAAATGACTTCCTTATGTCCTTGTGATTTCTTCCTTAACACATTGATTATTTAA